CCTTCGACTTAACAGTAAATGTTGCTTGGTTTAATCTAACTAAAACAATCTAGAGATGAAGGAATGTCCTGGGAGTGGGTATGTATCAGTAAATGTTGCTTGGTTTAATCTAACTAAAACAGTCTAGAGAGGAAGGAATGTCCTGGGAGTGGTCAGAGAATTCTTCACAATCAAAAGGAAAATCGTATCTTAGAGCTCAAGAAATCGGTCAAATAAAAGATTGGCCGACGTATCGAAGCAGTTAATCCTTCTCGATAGCCAATATGATTGATTTTGTTTTGAAAGATATAGACCCACTCTTCCTGTTCCGCCCGTGCTGTAGTACTATAGGTCTAATGATGGTTGCCGGTAAATCCTTTTGCTGACGGCTGTCGCTTCTTAAAGATATATTGCTTTCTTGTTGCGAGTTATTCTTTCCTGGGCTGTATTTTTAAGGAGTTTATATACAGTTGCTTCAAACAGTGAATAATGTATTACAGAGTTTTGTAGAAAAAAGGGAAGAATGAAAAGGAATAGAATAATTCAAACAGTAAACGAACCTACCCTTCCTTACATGTATGAAAAAATAAACAATCATAATATGTTCTGAAGACGATACAGAAAACAGAGATTTGATTCCCGATGTGTCATATTATACACAACTCGTCTTCAGTGGGTTTGTTTGAAAACAATTAAGTTTCAAGTTCAAAGTATTCGTTGATTTTCACGGAAAGCTACAGGAGAACTATCTGTCCCTAATTTAGCGGTGACAGACTAGAGGGAAGGCAGCTGGTCAACATCACTCAACTCTTAGCTACACGAGAGCTATCTGAGCTAGCTGCCCCTAATTTAGCGGTGACAGATTAGTTTGTTTGTTTGTTTGTAATTAAGCACAAAGCTACACGAGAGCTATCTGAGCCAGCTGTCCCTAATTTAGCAGTGACAGACTAGTTTGTTTGTAATTAAGCACAAAGCTACACAATGGGCTATCTGTGCTCTGCCCACAACGGGTATCGAAACCCGGATTCTAGCGTTGTAAGTCCTCGGACATACTGCTGTGCCACTGGGGGGCTACAGATTAGAGGGAAGGCAGCTGGTCAACATCACTCAACTCTTGGCGTACTGTTTACCAACTTACAGAGAGATTGACTGTCACATTATAAAACCCCCACAGCTGAGAGGGCGAGCATGTTCGTGGAAGTGTTTCGATACCGCGACCCGTAGATTTCGAGTCGAGCTCTCTAACCATTGGGCCAAGTTTAATATAGTAAAATATAACTAAATAATTTAATACAATTTATTATATATTTATTGATAATAGAGAGAATACAAAAAACAGTAACAGAAGCACGAGAATAGTTAGTAGGTGACTGACGAGAATCAAACATTTGAAAGTCTGAATTGAAAGGAACTGGTAATGTCATTAAGGATATGTGGATATTTAATTTGGTTAGCAGTGTATCTTTGATTAATAATAGTGTGTCAGATTAACCTGAATTTAAAAGTTTGAAATTCTCTAAATGATATGTCATTCAGTGATAACGAATGTATGTAATAGGCTAGCGTTAGGACACGTGACTAACAATCTGTGGGTCCCGGGATCGAATCCCTTCCCCGAACATCCCTTTCAGCCGTAGGACGTTATAATGTGACGGTCAATTCCGCTATTCGTTGGTAAAAGAGTAGCCCAAGAGTTGGCGGTTCACTAGCTGCCTTCTCTCTTATCTATCACTGCTAAATTAAGCCCTCGAGTAGATTTGCGCGAAATTCAAAAACAAACAAAGAAACTGTTTTAATTGTTAAATTATTTCTATTCACTCCTATTTCCTTGTTCAATTATTTCTATTCACTCCTATTTCCTTGTTCAATTATTTCTATTCTCTTCTATTTTCTTGTTCAATTATTTCTATTCTCTTCTATTTTCTTGTTCAATTATTTCTATTCACTTCTATTTCCTTGTTCAATTATTTCTATTCACTTCTATTTCCTTTGTTCAATTATTTCTATTCACTTCTATTTCCTTGTTCAATTATTTCTATTCACTTTTATTTCCTT